CGTAAAAAATGCAGGTTAAGAAACAATGGGAAAATGCAATTAATAATGCTAAACAATAAAGCCTCCATCGACAACGGTACTGATTTTGTTATCCATCTCAAATAAAACATTCAAACGTTATTCTTATTAGTTCTGTTGAAGACTGTTGTATTTATACAGACGGAATTTTTTAGAACATTCTATAAATATTCAATATAGATAAATATAACACGTCAGTCAAACAATAACAACAGTCAACAGGGGGTATATTTGATGTGGGGGGCCCTGTTGACTGTTGTTATTGTTTAACTGAGGTATTATATTTATCTATATTGAATATAAATAGAATGTTCTAAAAAATTCCGTGTCTATAACAACAACAGTCTCCAACACATGCGACTAATAAGAATATCACGTCACTGTGTTCTCTAGCTTAATCCATACGAATTTTAAACAAAATAATTGCGACGGTATAGTGCGTCGGGTAAAAACCAGTAGTGGATGACGTTGTTGTGATATCCAGAATTATCAAGGTCAAAATAAGTGTTACCCGACGAGCCGATAATGGTAGAAGATGCAAAACCTATTGAAAGATGAAGCGACATACGCCGTGATACCTAAGCCACCATTCAAATGAGTAGAACGAGAGTTAAATGCCATGCTACTTGACCTGAAGAATCAAGAAGAAATTCCCAAGAATACTTACCGTAAGCTACACTCAAGTGACGCAATTCCTCCAGCCATCAGAGGCTCCAACAAGCATCACAAAGTAGGTTAATCAACTCAGCTCTTTACGAAGCTACCAAATTCCTTACCAAAATACTTTCTCCACTTCAAAACAAGAATGGCTTCTCAGTAGCTAACTCTACTCAATTCAAACACGAAATTTCAACCATTACCATAGACGAAGACGAGTCTATGATTTCATTTGACGTGGTGTCACTCTTTACAGTCATTCCTGTTGACAAAGCACGCAAATATATAAGAACGGAATTATGAAAATGATCCGACACTTCCTGACAGAACTCAACTCGACATTGAGGACATCATTCGAGTTTTATATTTTGTTTTATGTAATAGTTTTTTCGTTTATAACAACACCACCTACAAACAAATTCATGGATGTGCCATGGGTAGCGGCTAACTTGTGCATGGAAGTGATAGAAGAAATGCAGGTCATCCGAGATGCAACTTCACCACCTAAAGTTTGGAAACGTTAATATTGTAGAAGATTGTTTTTCCATCATAAAAAAGACTAACATATCATCTTTTCATGATACACTAAACTCCATTGACCCACACATTGACTTCACTATTGAAAACGAAAAGGATGGAAAGATCGCTTATCCTTGACACATTAATTTCTAGAAGGGACGGCTTAATTTCTATTGACGTTTACCGCAAACCCACTCATACAGACCGTTGCTTAAACTACTTATCACATCACGACCAAAAACATAAAATTTGTACTGCAACAATTAACACTTATCAACCGATCCTTGTCGCTTCCCACCACTGACGAAAGCAAAGAAAGAGAACTAAATCATGTAACCACCGTTCTGGCATCAAATGGCTATCGAAAGAAATTAATTTCAGGATTGATCAAAAAACGTAAGAACAAAACTGTAGTAAGCCCTGAAGAGTCCGGTCTTTTTTCGAATTATAGTCGAAGACAAGTCGCCAACTGCAGAAATCGCGGTTCTACCATACATCAAAGGACTAACCGAACCCCTAGCCAGAACACTCCAAAAACATGACATCAAAGTTTACAATAAGCCGGTAAAAACCCTCGAACGCCAGTTTCCATCCGCAACACAGACTCACCAATTGAAGAGCAAAAGAACGTGGTCTATCAGATACCGTGTCAAGATTGCAGTGGAGCTACATAGGCGAAACAGGAAGATCCTTGAAAACGAGAAAGTCCGAACACGTAAGGAATGTGAAACAAAGCAAGAAGGGGTCGAATGTAGCAAAACACGCATGGACTCAAGATCATGTAATTGACTTTGCCAATGCTAAAGTGATCGATAGACAAGGGAAATTATAGAAACCTTAAAACCTTAGAATCCTGGCACACTGCACTAACAGACGAATCTGATAATAACTCTAATACGCTTCCAGCACAATACACAATACTTTTTAAGGAAGGAAGCAAGTCAAGAAATATTAATTAATTAAATATTCATATTACTCATTTGTAACATAGCAAACAGGTGGGAAATTTGTCTGAGCATGCGCGAGTAAAATGAGCCACGCAACGCGTGTTTACAAGAAGGCACAATCGTGTAAATATTGCCAAATATTTGTACACAACACATGACTGTTTTATGTTGAAAGTGGACATGATCTAAATTAATCATACAGAATTTTTTAGTGACGTTTTATTTCAGTACCCTGCCATTGTCTCTGGTGGGCTGTCCGTGTGCATTCGATCTGAAACAGTTGCTACTTTGTCTTTGCTGTCGAAAAATTTCGAATGTTTACATGAAAATAGAGGCAAGTCATGCATTTTACAACCTCGTAAACTGTATGAGCCCCTATTTTTACGCGTATACCTAAGATATCAAATAAAAGTACATGAAACAGAGTGTACGGCAAATACAGAGTTTTTTCGACGAGCATTTCATGCCGGGTTTTCGTCGAGGAAACGCAAAGAAATACTGATTATTCGCCGAAAATTTACATAATTGAGCGCCTTAAAAAAATAAATCGACGTAGGTAAAGCTTTACTGTTTTTAACTTACCTTGTATTTTGTTATTTGTTGTGATTTTGCAGCCGTTGTGCTCGCACTGATTATTTATCAATTATGAGGCGTTTAATATATTTATATATCGTGAAAGCCTCAAAGCCCAACGCTATCAAAATACTCGATTTTTATATACTCAAACTGTAACGGAGCCATTGTGCTCGCACTGATTATATTGTGTGCAAAGCTTCAAAACCACAGCACAATAGCACATTTTGTAAATAACATGAAAATAGCAACCATTGTGAAGTACGCATAAGATTCAACATGACATTCAACATGACATTCGATAGAGTGCACGTGTAAATTAACTCATCTCAATCACTCAAATTTCTATTCTGTGACTCAAACGTCAAAATGATAAATAATAATCATTTTCAATCTATTATAGTAATTTTTCCTTTAAAAAGTTACAATAAAGCTTAATCTAAAGGAAATAACGTTATTAGTTGTAAATTTGTGAAGGAAATCTAACAGTCAATCGCTTTCGATAAAACCTTAAACCCACCTTGACACTGTTAGTGTTATTATTACCGTCGCTTGCAACTAACTATTAACAGTCGCTTATAAAAACATTGCCTATTCGCGTGTTTCTGCAGGGGTCTACACCGTACTCTATTTCGTGTGAGAATCTTAAGTTTTCTTATTTTGACATAATAGCTATTTTTCAATAAATATATTGATATTAAACTTATTGAATCAATATTTTAAGTTTCACGCCAGTTGTACCAAAGGTTATAAGCGCTATGGGCTATAGCGCATCATAAGTTTCAGATATACGCACTGCGTACCTATTTTTTAAATATCTTTGTTTCTGTTCCGGTCATCACCAAAATTACACAAAATCCGGGCTTGAATATACAACAAATTTTGAACCTTATCAAGCACAAAAATATTTAACGTGTAACCAAAATATGCTCATGAAATCGAAATTAACAGCTAAATTTTCAAACTAGACCCTTCTCGAAGCGGTTTTCGTGAAGGAAGTTCCCATTTCGGCCTTTGATTCTTGGTAAAAATTTGACCACAACACGTGCGAAGCAACTGGGTCTCAAAGACTCAGCTTACATTTCATTCTCATATCACGTCTTTCGTCGTTTATTACGCTTTTAAACAAGCCATAGATCGACGTATACGGTATTTACTCCCATGTTCACGTCGCCATATTAACTTCTTCCAATCACTCGATTACAAAACAAATCATCCCAAAACAAAGAACTCATGATCGACTTTTAAAAGAATAACCGTTAATTTGTAAATCGTTGAATGGAAAGCAAAAAATCGTCAGCTAAAACAGCTAGCTTCTAAGCTAACTTTCTGCTTTGTTTTGAATGTAAATGCAATGAGCTCTGTTTCTGTCCGCGATTTTTTGTCATCGACGACAAATTTCCCACCTGTTAACATAGAATAGATAGTTTCAGATTTCATACCACCTACCTACACTTACATGTATTTTTTATATTTCGATACATATATTTTTATCGATGTTAAAATTTGGGAACGCAGCTATTGGAGGACAAATTAATTAATTTGTAGCGTTTTGATCTGTTGCAAATTTATCCATACATATTGTACGTTATCCATACATATTGTACGTATCCTACACGTTGATTGGTCAAATTTGACGTAATAATTAAGCTGTTATATTCACCTACAGGTGAATATAACAAAACAGAAATTTTCAAAATGGCGGCTACCCGTTTTGTGGAAGTTTACTGAGAAAGAAATAAGCGAAATTAAAATAAATTCAGTCTCAAAAAACACAAAAGCTTGTGTAAAAATACTAAAACAATTATTTGCCTCAGGTTCGGTGATTATCGGGGAATATTCACCTCGACTTCGTCTCGGCGAATATTCCCCGATAATCACCTCGCCTTCGGCGAATAATTGTTAAATATCAACACGGCTCTTAGCCAATCAGCGTTTAGAATTTACGAATGCTATATTATAAATAACTCAACATGAGCTCCACCAGGTGTGAATTTACTATATGAATAAATTGTTAAACACGTCCGAATTTATCATAATGGAGCTCAAGCTAAAATAACTAATAACACATTGAATGTATTTAAAAGTCCGACTATGAAGTCAATACACGAATAACGGAAGAGCACATGCTGCACCCTGACCCTGCTAGAATTTGTCTGACTAGTGCCCTTGGTATTCTTATCTATTCTTTAGGATCAAGTTTTGGAGTGAGTTTTTGGAACAAAGTTAGTGATGTATAATCATACAAATCCAACAGAGACGAATACAAGAACGGACAGTGATCGGATGAAATTGAATGCATTTCTGGACGAACTTGAATTAGCAAAAAAAATTATATTAATTATTTTCGCCCTTTGTACAATTGTTGGCAACACTTTGGTTTTGGTGGCAACCTGGAGAGAAGCAAGTCTTCATCAACCAAATAAATATTTTATTGCTTGTCTGGCTGTCGCTGATCTTTTGGTTGGTGTAATTTTAGAACCATTGATGATGTATCAACGCAGTATCGATGTTGAATCGCGACGTACCATGTCTAATCACCTATGTCGTTTCATAGCGTGGATAGATACCTTTCTGTTATCAGCATCTATTTATACACTGACATTCATCAGTTTTGACCGATATCTCAAGATCACGAAGCCACTTCAATATAGATCCAGAATGACAACTTCCAAATCATTGAAAATTATCTTTGCCATTTGGTTGATTTCAACTGCCTTTGCCACCTACGCCGCCGCTCCTCATTCAGGAGGCAAGGGCATCTTGTTTACAAGCATGAGAGATTGCAGCGCTTTCGATAAAAGTAAAATAAAAGTATTCTACACTTTTGTATCAATAGCTTTATTTTTTCTACCCACCGTGGTTATACTGGTTATGTACGCTCTCATTTTTGTTGTTGTTCGTAATCGACAAAAAATGTTGAGAAATGGCGAACTGGGTCAAACCTGCAATAATTGGAACCAACGAAGTGCCTTTCTTAAAGATCTGAAGACTATTCGTATTTTATTGGTTGTTGTTGGAGTGTTTATACTTTGTTGGGGTCCTCACTTTATTTGCCAGATGCTGGTGCACTACAATTCAAATTTTCGTGATTCGGACAACCGCTCATTGACTGACAGGTATTTGTTTTACACAGCTGGAAAACTAGTATTTACACTCCCACTGTTTAACAGTTTATGTAATCCAATAATTTATGCCTGTCTGGACCTAACGTACAGAGCGGCTTTCAAAAATCAGTTTCAGCGAATGATGTGTCGATCAAGCTCAAGAAGACAACCACCGCCAAGTGGAATAGAATTACCTCCACTAAGAACTTGATAAGGAAACATTTCATTAATTAATGTGGACATACTAGATTGAGCGCTTATAATCTGTAGTATTAAATCTTGGTGTCCGGAAAACGTTATACAGAGTGTATAAAAATAAACTGAACAGATTTGAAATTGCTCTCAATTTCACAAAACAGCTTGTGGTATCAAGGTTTTGTTATATATTGATTCCTTGAGTACCCACAATGTAGAAAGAAAAAAAAATCAAACTCAAATTGTGGCAATTGATACACCAGGCCGGCGGAAATCTTAGTTTATAGATAAACAACAAAGCCCATGCAGCAAATAACTTTAAAACCAAACATAATAAAAGTCAAAATTTTTACTTTTATTATGTTTGGTTTTAAAGTTATTTGCTAGGCTTTGCTCTTTATCTTCAAACTCAAATTGTGTAAACCATGCAGGTGGTGCTTCTTTTCCAAAGAAACAAAAATGGTTTGCGCACGAAATTCAAATTAAAGCTGTAATCGTATTTTGAGTTAATGAATGGAACATTCAATTGTTAGACTTTTAATTACTGTACAAAATTTCAGACAATTTGATTTAGTTTAAGCCCTTTAACTATTAAATTTTCCCCGGCTAAAAAATCAGCCTTTCGCATGCTTTACCTAATGTGCACATTCAGAGACGTCGCGAAGACATCAACATTGGGGGAGGGGGGGGGGGGGGGGG